ATTTTTGATATACAAAACGATGTCAAATTGATCGCAAACAATATTTGTAGTGATGGACATACCTCATCATCATACCCGAAGCAACGGTCTAGGTCAGATTCACATTACTAGTAATTCATAAAATTGAGGATATAAATTAAATTTTTTAATATTTGAGGGTACAAAGTGATAATCAAAATATTTTATGGGGTGCAAAGTAAGATTAACCCCAATCCTGAGTATGCTCCAGTAGAAGAAGTAACCTACAAAGACTCCAGAGTTGACTCATCTATCAATAACATCCAAAAGTAAATGACAAAGAGATTTTTTCCTAGTATAACCATCAAAACATATAAATTTTATCTGGCCGAGTAACCTATTATAATGTATAGATTCAAATATTTATCTACTCGAACTCTAGTTTGTTTAATCCTGATTATACCATAATGTACTACAAAAAGCCCTTATTTGCCGCTTTGAAAATTGAACTTTGCATAAGATCAAATAACATCGGTCCCTCCAAATTGTTCTAGAAGCATTAGACCAACTCCAACCTAATGCAAGGGGGTGGACTCAGTACAATTGGCAGAAAGCTTGTGGAAAGGTGACATGTCAAATGTAGAATTGATGCAAGGCTTAACAATAAGTGAATGAGCATACTTGTGATCGATCATGTCTAGACATTTGGATTTGAAAGTTGTTGAAGGGTTTTAGTATAATCCTATAAAACTGTCATGACCAATCTCATTTGTAGTTGTTATACCCAGAAACACTTAAAGCGAGCTTAAAAGTTAAAAAGTTAAAAAAAAGAAAAAGAAAAAAGAAAAGGAAGATATCTGATCAAACTTTATAATAAAATTCATAACCGCTTTTTTTAATCATATAGTTCAATGACTTTAAATCTCAATTTTGAAATACTGAATGACATAGCACCTAACAAGAAAAAAATAACATGACAGAATCAAAACTCAAACTTAAATTTATCAGAAAAAATTAATTATGATATTATCAATTACAGGTCAATCGATAAGACAGAATATAAAGGAATTCCCAAAAAAAAAAAAACACTCCCGAACACAAGTTAACTTATTTTGTTGGAACTAATAATAGTTAATGCATCCACTTTTTCAAAAAATAAAAAATATAACCAGTAATAGTGAATTTTCCAAAAACTATTGATCTCATGGAATAGAGAAAAAACAATAACGCATAATTGATTGATTAAGCAGGTAAGCCAGTGAAACATAAGCAATCATAAAGATTTCAAATACAGTTTAAACTTAAACTGTAAGCCATAAAGATTTGTCTTGGAAAATTTTAAATGAAAAATAATCTCAGACTTACCAATGGGCCTTTAGTCCAATAGTAATTTTTACTTTGTGAAGATTTTGTCTTCTTGAAGTCAATGGTTCAAGTCCCGCTCTCCCCCCCCCCCAAAAAAAAAAACCCAAACTCTTAATTAAAATCTTCAAGCACTCCAAAAACATCCATTTCAATAATTTTTGATTTGCTGTAGTTCACACAAAGCATTATTCTAGAACATGCACCTCCACATTTTTATCACATAGAGCACAACATAATGTACTAATATCAAATGCATCATGGAAACTTTACCACATGACTAACACTTTCACATTGTAAGACTCCCAATTTCATTGTCCAAATATCATATGAATTTGGGATACCATCTTGAAACTAATGCAACTACACAAAGCCTTAGCCAAACTATTTGAGATTGACTAATCATCTTAAAACTTTTAAACAAGCAAAATAACTTAACCCATAAACTCACAAAGAATCATCAAACTCGGACAATATCACTCATAATCTTTTCTTGCCATATTCTATTTTTTCAGGGTGCAACAGTGATGAGTAGCCAATTTGTGATGTACTACTCATTATTGTTATTCTATCTTAAAATTCAAGGTGCAACAGTGCAACATGTTTTTAAATTAAATATAGGGAAAGAGAACATACATTGAATTCTTTTACACAAAATCTGGGATCAATATGGGGAAGGACTTCAAAGAATTAAAGCACTCAATCAATATAGAAACTAACACTTAGGAAGTTGTGGTGATCAAAAGAAAATGATACAGATTTGTAGGAGATAACTCTTATAACTCCTTCCATTTGAGTAGTATATGTCTTTTTCTATAGATAAATCAATTATTATCCTTGCTACATCAACCTTCAACCTAAACCACCTTTGTCCATTTCTTGTACTATCCCATTATTCTCATTGTAGCTATGCTCATATAATACTAATAGTTAGAATTAATATAAACTTATAATCATCAATATAAAAGAAAAAGCATGACACAACCACAAATTTGCGGATTGAAATTTCATAGGAGGAATTAGGAACTTATGATTTTCATCCACATCAAAAAGTATATCACCAACTTCGCATTTCGCTCATAGGAAAAATTGATGCTAATTGATGTCACATTCAAGTCTGAACTTAGCCTACAACTGAGACATCTAACATCATTTATGTTGAAGCCACACATGCATAACTTTTTTTCTCTTATTTTTTAATTTTTATGATAAAACAACCAATAGTCATGCATATAGCAATGTATGCCTTAAGGAAAACATGGCAACAAGTGCACAAAGTATATTTTGGCCCGCATAAAATAGAATGTGACAATATAAGAAACATTAAGAATGATTATTTTTGTGAATTAACATAGTAGCACAATTGAAACGTAAACCAATGAAAATGATTTGAAAGTGTACAACTAAGACCAACAAAATGACAAAAGAGGAAGAATGGCATAATAACAACTATTGAAAATATTGAGATTGAAGAACGACCGAAATTGATAATGGAAAAAGGATAAAGTTGTTTATAACGTCACTGAAGATACAGCCCTTGACACTTTGGTATAGTTTGGCTCAAAATAATCAAGACAATATGGGCCTACAAGCATAAGCATCAATCCACATTCAGATAAACCACAAAATGCAATCATCATACAATGCATCACTTGCAATTGACTAAAAATATATATATACCAAATATCCCAAAAAAAGTCTTTACTCCTCCTTAAGAAATGTTTAGAACTTATTCATAAAAGGATTAGACACACAATCATAAAAAAAGTGCTTGGAGCTGAGATAGTTCAAGACTTTTCATCTCTATTATAGAAGCCTCAAGTGATTAAGAATAGAAAAATTTCAGAGCCAACATGGTTGAAGATTCTGAATGCCTATTAGGGAAGCTGTGAATGACTAAGAGCATTCTTTAGGCTATTGACCTCTTAATGTGACTAAAGTATAATTCAATTGTCCTAATTGTCCACCTTTTACCAAGGACAATGTTGGCAGATCGAAAAATGAACGATTGTTAAGTAGTCAAAGCCTTAAAATACAAGCACATTTTAGGGGGGGGGGGAATTGATGTAGCTGCTAATTCCAACCACATGAACTTAAAAACAAATGAACTTAACACAACCACAAAATGAGAAGGCTGAAAATATCCTATAACAAACTGACCAATTTCAATTATTAGAGTTACGAGAGCGTCCCAACAAACCTGAGAAACTTTCATTGCTTAAGAATCGTTCTAGTTGTCTCACAACACCAGTTAGTCTACTACCACCAAATGATCGGGGCTACCAAAATGGTTAGGCACTCCTTTTCAATTTTAGGTAAGAGAAAATGTTAAAGCATTGCTAGAAGTTCTCTTTCCAATCCCACTCACAGGTGGGACACTATTGAATTTTTCATCAACTTGATCTCTCTCAAGCTGGTCTTGTCATGTGCAATCAACATAAAAATTCACCAATACTTTGGAAACTAAGCTAACCCCATTCACTTATTATATGGCCTTTCGAGTTCTGTTGGTCCACAAAATCCCTATTTACCCAATTTCGTTTGTTTATTCAATCATCACAAATTTATTCAATCATTTCCTTTATTTATTCAAACAAAAACACAAATAATATACAAAAAGAGAAATGCAGTACCTGTTGAAGAAGGACATCACTAGTTCGGCAATGGTGAGAATGACGGTGTGTGTTTCTCAAGGAGAAAGGAAGCAAAAGAAATGAGTAATGTTAGATAGACTTAAAAATTAGACTTGATAATCTCAACCATTGAAGAGGTAGTGAGCCCCAATAAATGCTAGAACCCACAGTGAAATCAATGGTTAAGATTATCAAGTCGAGTTTTTAAGTCTACTTTTTAAGTTCATGTAACATTGCTCAAAAGAAATACGTAGTACCTAGTAAAGAATAATAGCACTGGGTCACAATTATTCGGATTCTCATTCATAACCGATGCAGGCATTGCTTAGACAACCATTAATTTCTAGAATCTGTAGAACCAAGAAGAGCAAGTGAAAGAGGTTATACAGTAAGTGAATGAGGAGAATTCAACCGACAAAGAAAAAAAAACGAAGGGGTGTCATTGAGGAAGCTTAAGTAGCAAAAAAAAATTTTTTTTTTTAGGGGGTCTTTAATGCAACAGGTTGTAGTAATATAGATAAAAATTGTAGGAAGGATAAGCATGGTATACTTGTAGTATTGGAGGGTAAAAGTGGAAAAAATATGTCTTTCATATATGCTGATATTTTAAAGTTATATGTATAGATAGAGACAGACTATGTCTAAAACTAAATAAGAGTTGATTTTTGAGCAATAATCATGGTATACTAAATCATGATATGTCATTAAACAATTGAGTAGTCATGCAGAACTTCACAACAATAGCTTTCAGAATACAGAAGCCTTCAGGGTTCACCGTTTATTGGTCCCAAAATTTGGTCTGTAACATTACTGTTTTCTCAAAAGAAGTTTATGTGAAGTTTTTTCTAAATTCATTTGAACATCACTTTAGTTATTCGTGTTGATAACATGTAATAAACTAAGAGAAATAGAGATAATAAAAAAATTAAAGACATAAATTTTTTGAAAATAGATCTTCTCAAGCTTCCATCTTATTCTTGTCAAGACCTCTTTTTATAGGTCTTGAAACATAATAGTCATCAAATATAAGAACTCTCTCTCTCACAAATGGCCACTACAGCTCCAACGACCACCCAACTCCCACCAACTTCCGATGTGCAACCATCCAAGATGACAAGCATCAAAACACTAGCTAAATCGCCTGATCTCAAAACCATCCCTTCCAACTATGCTTACTCCACAAATCCAGATGAAACCACTGCTTCAGACCAAGAAGTTTCAGTCCCTATCATTGATTTTTCCCTGCTCACCTCTGGTACTCCTGAGCAACGCTCCAAAGCCATACAAGACCTCAACAAAGCCTGTCAAGATTGGGGATTCTTCATGGTATATATATCATCATCTCTAACTTCACCACATTAATCTCTTAATCCCTTTTCTTCCTTTTGAATAAGTGTACGGTACCGAAACCCAAACTATTTTGGGGTTGGGTTACAAATTTTTTGAGAGTCGAACTTCACACTTATACCAACCACTCCAAAATATTTTATTTATAATGCACCCAAAAACACTATACATCTGTCCTTAAAAGTTATATTTTTCAAGATTTCATGGTCATAGGTTCTAACTTTTTTGTTGTAAACTTGACCCCAAAGAGTTCGAACCCAATACATGATAAACTTTGATACCATAACTTACACTTTCGAAGTTGAACCCTTTCTTTTTTTGAGAGGATTGCTAGTCCTTTCTGCAATAATTTTTATAATTATTTAAATTTTTGGTTGTTCTTGTTCCTTCTAAAAAAACAAGTTCATGCATGTGTGTTGGTTGATGGGTCTCAGGTGGTTAACCATGGTGTACCAGAGGCTCTGATGAAGGCGATGATCAATGCGAGTGATGAATTTTTCAATCTATCGAAGGAGGAGAAGCAAGAGTTTGCAGGGAAATATGTTTTAGACCCAATCAGGTGCGGTACCAGCTTCAATCCTTCCAAGGAAAAGGTTTTCTTCTGGAGAGATTTTCTGAAGGTCATTGTGCATCCTGAGTTTCACTTTCCCAACAAACCTATAGGTTTCAGGTACAGATATTGATTACATATTGATAACAAGTTTTTAGTTTTTGTCATTTTGAGAGATTTCTATCCACATCAATAAATTTTCTATTCAATTTTCTTCGCTGTTTGATCGAACATCATGCTTTCGAATGGTGTATACTTTCGAGGATTTTAAGTGGTACTTTATTTTATCACAAAATGATTTGGGCCATTTTTTTGTCGCTCTGCTTTATTATTTAAATTTTTCAAGTACCATGATTTGAAGTGGGCTCCAACTCAAGCATTTCGAGTCTCGACGAATAAGTTTAACAATTATTGTCACAATAATTTTATTGAACCATGTCATTATTATATCATTAGATCAACAAATTAGATTAATTTTTTAGCTCCTAATAATATTACTCTTATTAAAATATATTTAACTCTTACTCAAATTTGGATTCAAATTTAAATTTAATTAAAAAAAGTTAAAAATAAACCCCATCATTTACTCAGGCTCATATCAAAGGAAGAAAGACTAGATATTCACTCAAAATCTTTAACAGTCAAATTTTATTTTTTTTTAAAGATCTAATAATTATATTTCACCTTGCTTTCAATTTAGGTTTGACCGATTTATATTTGAGTTTATCCATTAAATTGTTTTTTAAACCATCAAACTTTTCTCAAATATTGACTTAAATTTGAGTAAAAATTTAAATCAAGATTGGTAATAGCCTTAGTGACTTAAGTGATTCTCCACTAAAAGAGTAATGTTATTAAAATTTAATTTACTAATATAATGATATGTCAAATAATAAAATCCCANTATAATGATATGTCAAATAATAAAAAAACTATAAATGTTAAAACTATAACAATGTTATTGAACCATATTAATGTCACGTTATTAAACAACAAATTAATTCGAATTTTGAGATCCAAATAACATTATTCTTTAACTAATAAATTGTGAATTATCAATTTGTAGGCATTTATCATCCTCCAAACCCCAAGAATTTTGAGAAGCAAACACCTTTAATTAAACTAACATTAAACACCTATAATTAAACACCTATAAATGTCAAATAAAACAAAAGTTGGTGATATATCAGTTGTGAGTGCTTAGGTGATGCCTTTGTTATGAAAAGCATCTTCTTATTCTTTTTTTTTTTTTGGAAAATTTCAACCACCCTCTTCTAATTTATTATATCTTTATAGATATCTCTTTTATTATCAAAAATATTACTGAAACCTCCTATCATTAAACCAACATTTCTAACAAAAAAAATATATCTAAAATACCAAAAATACCGTTACATAAACACCAAATAATCTTCCAACATAAAATTCAATTAAAATTTGAGTCAATTAAAATTTATTTTTCTACATATTAAAAATTAACTTGATTAAAATTTATTTTTTACATATTAAATTTTGAGTCAATTAAAATTCTACTCGAACCGATTAAATTTTAATTTGTTTACATATTAAAATTTAAGTCTAATAAAATTCCTTTTTTAAGTATTAAAATTCGAGGCGATTTGAGGTCTAATTGAGATGTTAGCACCGATTAAAATTTGTTTCGAGTCAATTAAATTTTATATTTTTTTACTTATTAAAATTCGTGTCAATTAAAATTTGATTCAAATTAGTTAAAATTTATTTTTTACGTATTAAAATTTGAGTCGATTAATAATTATATTTTTATGTATCAAAATTTGGACCAATTAAAGTTTAACACAAGTTGATTAAATTTTGATTTGAGCTGATTAAAAATATTCTTTAATCGAATCGAATAAAATTTTTATCGACTCAAATTTTAATACATAAATGCAAATTGACTCTGCCGAAAAATGCCCCCTAAAACTCCAACCTATTATTCGACATGTGCAACCAGTAAATAGATATCGCAAATAAAAGCAAACTGACACTATCCACAGTAAAGTTTGTAGAATTCCACTGGTCTGAAGGATTGAACTTTGTCAACATATCCAGATAATAACTTAATTAGTTGCTACAGCACGCTAAAATATCTGTGTTTGAAATATTTCCCAACTCTTTTGGTGGTGGTGGTGGTTGCTGCAGCGAGCTTTCATCAGAGTATTGCAAAAGAACCCGAAAAGTTGCAAGAGAATTACTCAAAGGAATATCAGAGAGCCTAGGAGTGGACAACAATTATATGGAAAAAACTTTGAATTTGGACTCAGGTCTACAAATCTTTATTCTCAATCTGTATCCACCTTGTCCACAGCCTGAACTTGCAATGGGTTTGCCACCTCATTCAGATCATGGCCTCCTCACCCTCCTTATACAGAATGAAGTTCCAGGCCTCCAAGTGCAACACAATGGGAAGTGGGTCACTGTTAATCCCCTTCCTAACTCTTTTCTGGTAAACACTGCCGATCACCTTGAGGTAAATGTTTCTCCCTCTGCTAATCTGATCGATTGGTTTTCATAGATATTGATTTTGTACGGTAACTCAACGGTATTTATTTTAGTGATCGTTGTGGCAATATCCTAACGTGTTGGATCAACCTCAAAAGGACTCAGATGCCGGAAATTATACCTACATAGTACGAGTTAGTCAGACTGTGTTGATTTGTATAAGTTGTGTTTTGCCAGATATTCAGCAATGGGAAGTACAAGAGCGTCGTGCATCGAGCAGTTGTGAATAACAGACTTACAAGAATGTCTCTAGCCATGGCCCACGGACCCTCTCTCGAAACAACTGTTTCACCAGCTTCCAACTTGTTAGACAGTGAAAACAATCCCCCTGCATATATTCCAATGAAATACAAGCAATATCTGGAGCTGCAACAAGGCAACCAGCTTGATCGGAAATCCTGCTTGGGTCGGGTTCGGGTTCGGGTTCAAAGCGAATAGCTGAGTGCATCATATCCACATACCATATTTGGCCGGGGCCAATCACTAGCAAGTGTACGCCGAAAAAACGTTGTGATTTTTCGTTGTTTGGTTGTGATGCTACGTGTCAGTAGTGTTGATATTTTATTAGAATTGTGATGAATATTATCTGTAATATGAGACCTTTAGTTGCTTTAAAAAAAACGTTNCTTAAATCTACCACATAAATAACGAGAGTCTTTTATCATCTTACTCAAACTATGTTTTTATATATATATTCAGATCCATAAAACATATATATGTAAACATATCTTGTCTAAAAAAATATATTTAAACTAAAGCTTGAATATCACAAAGAACTTAAAAAAAAAAAAAAAAAAAAACTATTAGACATGCTGAGTAAAAAAAAAAAAAAAAATTGCAACTCGGAATGGGCTTAAGGTTATATAAATTTCAAAGAAAATATTCTTTAATCGAAACGAACTTCTATATTTATATAAAGAAGTAAAGTTCTATACATGTTAAATTATTATGTACATAGAATTACCATATTGAATTCTACGATAAAATGTATGTTATATTTTATTTTTTGGTATATAATATTGTATTAATATTATAACCGATATAATAAATCTATTTTAAAAAATAAATATTAATAATTTTATAATATAATTCGATAGTCAAAGACTTATAGAATATATTAACAATTTGTATTTATTATTTAATGAAAATATGGACTTATTATTTGTCATCTACTTTATTATTTAATTTAATTACACATATAATTTATTTTTTTTATAAAAAAATATTATTTAAATTTATTTACGTGCAAGACAGATCATGTATTGCTAGTAGCCTTTAAAATGTATAATTTTACCTTTGAAATATACTTTTTTTTGTGTGATCAATTACTTTTGAGTTACGATCTAAGTCAGACGGAGCAGAAGCGGAGAGGAGAGTGAGAGCAGGAGTGTAAAAGCAAAAAAAATTGAAAAAATATCAAAGCGGAAAAACCTTGAGAGCATCATATTTCGATCAAACTGATGGAATTGATAGCCAACACACACCTAAAAAATATGGTAAAAGCCTTTTGTTTGTTGTACATGTGGGTGAGGCCCATAGTTGAGAAGCCTTTTCTTCCACTAATTCTATGGGACATAATTTAGGAGTTTAATGTATTTTGATCATTAAATTAATAATGTTAAAATTCAGTAATAATTTAATGTTGAGACACATTGACAATCTAATGATCATAATCATTAAATTTTTAAATTATGTCTCAATAGCATAACTCATTTTTTTAAGGTGAGTACAACAATGGAAGAGCCTAAAATTTTTGAGTTTTTAACTTAATTTAAAGTCTAAAATTTTAATTTGTCGATTTAATTTTTGATGGATTGAAAGCACAATTTTATACCAAATGTTTGTCCCAATAAAACCCCCATAATTTTTTACATTTAAATGCATTAAATCACGAATTTATTGTCAATGCTATCGAGACAATCTTTCTCTATATATAATCAAGCTACTAGTCATCTATTCGCTTGTACAACTAATTTTGTAGTGTCCTAATCTTGATCAGGAAGATAACATTTGGTGGATCCCTTTCCCATCTTTGGCTTTTGGACTGGTCTAAAGTTGTGTGGTACCCGAGAGCTATTCCTAGATACAGCTTTATTCTCTGGTTAGCTGTAATGGAAAGGCTTTGTACAAAAGACAAACTTACGTCTCATTGAGTGATTGAAAGGGCCATTGTGTTTTTTGTAGGAGTGAGACAAAAACCCAGTGACACCTCTTCTTTGAATGCCCTTTTACCAATAAATTATGGACCTCGTTACACAACATACGAAATTTTCAATGTCATGGATTGGTGTAAAATTTCCGATAGCCTGGATTGGTGTGACCAGATTTGGTGCACCGGTTTGCTGGAAATATGAAAAGGATGGGTCTCTTAAAGGTGATTGGTAGTTAGGGGTGTTAATTTTTTCTGTTAACACAAATTTGATTCAAATTGAACCTGACACGAATCCGAAAGTAACACGATTAGTTGATATTAGTAATCAATGGATCAAATTAAGGTTCAACACAAATAACACGATTAATGGATACTGTAGATAAAAAATAATTATTTAACAAGTATTGTAGATAGAAAATAAGAATTTTATAATTTTTTAAATAGTATTATATTAGTTGTTGTCAAATTAAATAATTTTTTATTAACACTAATAATGACAAGAACCCGACATATACCGAAATGATACGACATGAAAATAATACGATAAAAAATAACACGATACAAAAATGAGACGAAACGACAAGATTGACACCCTGTTAGTGGTGGATTACATTAGGCTTAAACTAGCATGGCTAAAGGATACCGGATATCAACTGAAAACTTGTGGATGACAATGGAGAGTACCAACCAAGGCCCGCCCAATACTGGAGAAAAAGAAGCGGTGGCTTTAGGCCACCTATAAAGAGGGCCCCAAAATTTAAAAAATTTATAAATATAGCTAAAGTCAATTTTAATTCATTAAAAATAATTTTATAATAACAAAAAAATTCTAGATTGATTTTGAGCCCAAAAATATAATTCATTAATCTCACACAATAACATAGTACAAGAAAATATATATATATATATTTTATAGCTGATGGATTATAGCTGTGGAATTGATAGTGAGTCCTAACTAATAATAGAATTCACTGTCAATCTAATAAGGTCCATGTAATATTATTATTTTTATCAAAATCTTAAAAAATTTAGTCAAACATATATTCTATGAGTAATGTCTAATTCATAGAAAAATAATTTTATAAAATTGTCATTGACAAGACAACATAAACTATCAAATAATCTTTCAATTTTAAAGTTTTGAAATTTTTTATTTATTTTAAAAATTAAGTCAATTAGTTATACTATCAATAAAAAAAGATATCTTAGAAAAACTTCAATACGAATACTAAACAATTAATATGCATCTAGGAAAAAAAATTAAATATCAAAAAATTTACTCTATTATTAAAAAAAATTAAAAAAAAATCTCAATTAAATTTATAGCTTTAGACCTTAAAACATATCAAGCCACCCCTGCTACCAACAACCTTGTCTTTTGATTAGGGGATGGTTGTTCTTCTGTTTCGATCAAGAAAAACTATCATCTCATTTCCTTTTATTTTTCTTTTTTTTAGTTCTGTTTGGATTTTTTTGTATATGGATGTACATTTATACATTTTCTTTCAATATATGGATTTCACTTATTGACCGAATATACTATCTCGTATTTTTTATTTTTTATTTTTGAAAAATTATCTACAAACTAACTTTTGATTATTGTATTTGATGTGTTTCAACTGGGTTTAACTAGTATTACCGTGATTTCTTCTTGACTTTTTTTTTACCCACCTTGCTAGTTTATTAAAGAATTGCCTACATACTATGGNCCCCCCCCCCCCCTCCCCCCTCTTTTTTCTGCTTAATAGTTTAAAGGGTAGGTTTGCATTTAACAAAATAAGTATGGCTTTTTCATAAAAAAACTTTTTTGCAGTATAAGTTTTTTATATTCAAATGCATTTGTATATTGTTGGTTAATTTGGAAAAAAGATGCCACACCATGTGTTTATGCTACGGTAGTCGGTGAGATTGCCTAGTATTACCAAGGGAAAACGCTATTGTGCAATAAATTGTTCAAAAAATATAACAAGAACATAAATTGTATGTGTAATTAAGTTAAATGAGATCTAATATTTTTTTAATTTATATTTTTATGATCAACGATTCAACATCATGTTATAATTAGAAAAAACATTACACAAACTAAATCTAGTAATTAAAAAAAATAGAAGATTAGTAGTTCATCTTTTTCAAAATAGTAGCATTGTCTTATTGTATTTTTTAGAATAATATAGTCATTCAAATTTTTAAACATGTCGTACCTCTGTACGTGTGGGGGGTGGGTGATTTATGAATGGTCATAGCTATTTCAATTGGATTCTCTACCGCCAACAAATCCTCCAGATATCACTCTGATCTCCCCTAAAGGTTGTTGGTGCTGCGCAAGGGCTTGTTGCTGGGGTGCCGATGGTGGTGGAGCCCTGTTCTGGTTGTCATGGGCAACAAATCGTCGTAATTGTCCCCTCTGGATCAAGAACTCGATCTCTATTTTTAGCTGAATGCAATCGTCGGTATGATGACCATGATCCCTATGATACTCATAATATTTCGTAGGGTCTCTTTTAGGTGGATCTGCCTTCATTCATGGAGGCCACTTTAGGAATTTCTCGTTTTGCACCTAGTATAGGATCTAGNTTTACATGTTCCGTTATTTTTTATTGAAATTATTGAACATAGTTAGATTGTCTTTTGAAATTATATAATGTCTATTCATAATGTAAGGACATAGTTTAGCAAATAATAAAGATTCTCAAAACTCAACAAAAGGTGGGAGTCAAAGGTAATAAAATATTATTTGACTCACATATAAGTTACGGGGTAATTTTACGATATCAAAAAAAAATTAGTGGCTTTTCAAAAGTTATTATTTTTGGAAGTCAAATTATATCTTTTAAAATTAAAGTTACAATTTCTTATGGTAATTAATGTTTGATCATAAGTACCCTTTTATTAGTTGTAATTTCACTTTTAAAATATGCAACTTGACCTTTGTTTTTTTTATTTTTTGGGAGATGGGAAGGGAGGGAAGATAACTTGAACCCTTGACCTTAAAAAAACAAATCTTTCACAAGGTAAAGAATATCATTAAACCAAAGACCCGTTGATATGCAACTTGACCTTGAAAGATTATATTAATAATTATAACAATTACTTTTAAAAGTTATAACTCTCATAATTTTATATAAGATTTTAATATCGATCATGTGTTTTACAATTGTAATTTCTAAAAAATGTAATGAATTATAAATTTTGATACGGTACTAATTTTGAGACCATAGTCTTCTACACCATATTCAATGTCCTCACACCCATCTTGAGAAGTTCTTAACAATGTTAAACTCATCACCTCTATGTACTATTTTTGTGTACCACATCAATGTAAACTATTAGATTAGTGTTTCCATTGAGTTCATTCAATGATGGTGTAAATAAGGTGGTTGATAAAAGTAGTGTCCATATCATTATTGGTTTCAATACACGGAGGCGGTCCA